GTTTTTCGTGGTGGTTCACGCTCAGGTTGAAGGGAGTGTGAAGTAGTTTTGGGTCCTGAGGTGTAGTCTGGAAGAAGCGATTATTACCGGGGTTCCCTTCGAGGCTGTGCATACATGTGACACCATCCGCACGGAGCACTTTCTTCCCTCTGCCCTCAGAGTTGGTAATAGCTATCTCTATATCCTTTCGTGTGCAATCAGTTCAATTATAATAGTTATAACAATATCTGTTTTAAAACCTAATGAAATAATTTACATATAAATATGAAAATCACATGTGGAGAGTTCCTTTGAGCACACATATGTATGCATATCGGGCACGATTTGACGAGATCTGGATACTATTCGTTGATTTGCCGATAATTGAGCGGTTTCGCTCCTAAAACAGCCTTTCTATGTTCGGATACAATAGTTCACCCAATAAAAGTCTGGTAGTTGCACTGATGACTCGATGGTCTCACAACATTTGTATCCGTTTGTAAAACCATATAACTGCCTATTCATGAATACATGAATAATTTTATTCTTTTTCCAAGCAACCCAACCACGATAATTTATCGCTCGAAAAACTGAATACGTAAAAATTTGCCAAGTGCTTCCACGAACTTTCTAATTGGCCTACATAGTACAGGCTGTGTGTAGACCTGATCGGGTAATTTGCAAAACCACCCTTTATTAAATTCCCAACTTATTCAAAAACTACTCGGACTGAATGAATGGTTAGGTCAGCCACTTTAACCGATAATGAGGGCTTAATACAAAGTTATCTTAAAAATAAAAATAAAAAATAAAACAAATCACAAAAAAAAAAAAAGAATTCTTAAAACTCAAGCGTTATTAAATTATTTAAATGTAACGGTGGCCAAGAACTGGGCCAAGGGAAGATATTATTGGCGGGCCCGCAGAAAATGCAGTTGGTATAGCTGGTTTGCGCGGCGATATGTACTAATGCCCCAATGCTGAAAATCAATGTTGCGATGATACAAAATCATGACTTTAGATTCATTTGAGCTTTTTATTTTAAAAGTGGCATAAGTCACTTCGCACCTCTTGAGTTTAAATACCGTTTACCGTTTTGCCGTTTTGCCGTTGACTTGGTTGTGAAGGCATCGGTTATTCGTTCAACTTCATCAACCATAGTAGCACGTCTTGTCGTTAGTTTATGACGATAGAGCGATTTACAGATGCATTCGGTTACAAGTAGCCGGTCATTTAAGGAAAATATGTATAAACGGATCATTTATTGTTTCCACCTAGCTTTCATAAAAACTATTGTTCTAATACCATTACTTCAAATATAGTTGTATATAAATATGTAGGGAAGTCGGGGTATTCTTGGACACGCTTTTATTTTGGTCGAAAACTCGCAAAAAACTTACTTTTTCAGGATATTTCCGAAGTCATTGATGTCTCCTTATTTGCATAATAAAGCGGCATTCTGGCTAAACCAAAATTCTTGGCAAATAGTCCCGGGATTTTCGGAATTTGTAACCTGCACTGATGGCAATAATGGAAACTCCTTTTCTTGACCAGTATTGGCTATATTTCTTTTTTTATTTCATAATTAATTTTTTTTTTTTTAAATAAATATCTAGCTCATTATACATATAACACGGTGCGATAGTAAATCTTAAACACAAAAATGTCAATATATTCGCGAAACCGTGGGCCAACTATAGTAAAATTGCATTTTTAGTTTTGCACTCTGACGACAGTAATTCAACAATGATTTAAAAAAATCAGTGAAATGCGCTTAGAGAAGAAGTATGGGTATCAAATTAAAGGGGAAATTCTGTAGAATTTAAGCAGATTCAATTTTTTGGTGTAGATGGACTGGTAACTATTGAAAATGTTCTTTTAAATTTTATCCTTGAAACTGTAATATGTTTTTTTTTTTAATTACATGTTAAGGACTTATATAAACTCGATAACATCCACGAATTTCCTCCTTCTAACTTTATCAGCTTAAAAATTTAACTATTCTATAACTATTCTATAACTTGTGAATCCAAAAAAAATATTTTTTTTTTTAATTCTTTAGTAGGTTCTTCTTGCATTTGGTATTTTTATTTTAAATATATTACATTGAATTTTTTAAAAAATAATTTTTGGAATTAACATATCTTTGAAATTACAAAGACCTTTAAAATAAATCCTGACGTCAGAGAGGAATAATAAAAACGCCACTTTAAGTTAAAAAGTAGGTTTCAAACGCATTTATTTATAATTTATTTTATGGTAGGAGAGCTTCTCAAACAACATAGAAGCAATTTTTTCGATTTAAGTTGTTGAAAAGTAGTGAATATCTAAATCCCGGGACCAAGCACGGGACCAAGCAGGGGATGCCGAGTTTTCTTTCCACGGCCCTGAACGAACTGTACGAGCTTTTAAACGACATGGACGTGGGTACATACTTAAGCGCAAAAAAATTCAACAATTGGACATTGGCTTTGACATGTTGTACGCTCCGGTGAAAGGATCCTTCGACTGTGTAAACAACGAAAGAGAGGGCGCCCGCGAACACAATGGAAGGACCAACTGTAGAAGGACCTGAACTCGCACAAGAGAGAGGCACTCAGTGAAGTTGTTTGGTCTCGACTAAATCCGACGAACGGTTGTAGAGCAAAACAAGAAGAAGAATGATTTGGAATGAATATCAATAAATTTTTTATTTTTTAATATTTTTAATTATCTCTGTTGGGACATAAGATACATATGTAGCTCTGCGAGAACTTCAAGAACGTACAGACATATACATACATCCTTTGAGATATTTAGCTCCATACCTGTTTTATGTGTATATGACGTCACAGATATATATGTGTGCGTACTTATTTATACATATGTACATATGTACATGAATATTCGTCTGTATGTATCAATATGTACTTATATACACACACCTACATACATATGTATTTATGTATTTATAGCCGGCTAATCAACTAAACAAAGATTACTGTGACAAGTATCGTACTCAGATACATATTTATCTACATTTATACGTAGATATGTGTAGGTATCTACATACCTAGTGTTGAACTTGGTCTATTGGCTCTTCATGGAATGGGTAGTATGTAGGTACACACACATCCATACCCTGCAGGGAAGCCGCGGACTAGTGAATCAAATTTCTAGGTACCGTACTAGGTCTTTGTCGCCAAAAAGGAACTGATCCGATAGGAACTAGATCCCCACCAGTCCAAAAGCGGCGAAAGGTGGTACTTTTAAAAAACTATTTTTTTTCAGTTTTTTTTTTTCACTAGAAATCTATATCTAATGTTACGAATTTAGAACTGGTTTGGAAGTATAGAAAAATAGATGCAGCGGGAGGCTTGTTTACTTTACATAGATATGTGTTCGGCGGCTTTTTCGTTCAAATACGCTTCTATTCTGTGCTTCGCAGATGCTTTTTCATAGCTTGGTGGTATAAAACTACAATTTGTGTTAACATTTCAACATCTTGGGACCGTCTGGAATCTAAGAAATAACAGCGACCACCTCTGCAAACAGCTAAAGCTACAGCTAAAGGTATGTAAACGTACATTTCTTACAATCATTCAAGCAAATGTAAGTTCAAATTGAAAATAATTTAAAATCACACACACGGAAGAACCAAAAAGACTACAAAATTATGATACTTTTTTCTTTCGTCTGTCGATTTTAAAACTGGTTCGGAAGTATAGAATTTATGATTGACACTTCCTAGGACATCGCCATGTTAAATTCGCCAGTTGCTTGCATGCAAAAGAGATTTATCGCGAACCAGTACTGGGTCTAAATGTACTAGAAGCGCACCAGTTCGGAACTAGAGATTTTCCCCACAGGGAATGTACATTCATACATAGGTGTGTCATTATTTATAATCATAACTGTACATTCACATGTAGTTTGGTTGATTAAAAACTGAAATGCATTCAATGTTACGTTCATCACTTTGATAATTTTTGCAGCGTCAAGACGCCAAGACACTTGTTGAAAGCCCTCGTCCACTTTTTTATTACTCGTATTGCTCCAATAAGCAAACGTTTGAGCTGCTGTCGAGCAGTTGTGAAAAATTACATGGATAGCCTTTGACAGTATAAAAGGTAACATGACCGCATGAACAAACAAATGGATAACAGCTTTTGATGATGTTCGGCATAAGATAAATTTTTTTTCCGCAAGTTGTATCACATACAAAAATATTTAAAAGTAAACATAAATAAATAAATTGTAAATAAATAAATAAAATAATGCGTACAAAAAACAGCGCACTATTTTTTTTGGATCCATAAAAACTCGTAAAATTATATTTATTTTCTGGAGCCCTAACCAAATTTTTCATAAATAAAAATAACTAAATTTTTAACAGGTTCTTCACCAATCCGTCAAGCAGAAAAATAATAATTTAAGTAAAGGAAAAATGATTTCTATATGCCTCTTTCCGATTACTTTAATTGAGCAATTCTTGTACATATATATCCGTACCCTGCAAAAAATGCGACTAATCCGGGATGACTCCAGGAGCAATCGCAAAGGAACTTGCTACTAATACCACTTTTTAAATCTTTGTATGGAATGAACTGTTCACTTTTGTTCGAGCATGTCCTTTATACTCGAACGGGCATAAAAAATAAAAATAAAAATAAAAATTTGCGCCAGCTACGATACGAACCGGGGTTCTCTCTCTTTGTGCCAACACCGCACATGAAATTTCATTGACTTAGAGTGCGTACATGTCATTAAATTGTTAATAGTATCCGTTAGAGATGAGTCGGGGGGACTAATTGATCTCGAATAATACCCGTATGAGGCTAGCTGCGACTATTAATGTCCCATTGTACCCGGTTGAAAGTAATCTCGGAATACTCTCTTTAGAGTTAAGTCGCACAATTTTTTGCTGGGTAGGTTTCTCGGAAACTGCTCTAACCATTTTGGAGCAATTTTGTGTTCAGATAAGATTTTCTATTTTAAGATTATCTAGATAGGTGTTATCTCCGATTGGAAACTAGTTACAAACTGAATAAAGATCCTAATATGGATATCAAATGGAAAGTATTTTAAAAGTCCCCAATACAGGAATATTTTCAAATACGGCTGCCAACTAGTTTCCGTCGTATTTTTTATTTTTTTTTTATTTTATGTTTATGGATACTAAACGAAGGTTCTTGAACAATTCTTTGCCTATAAGTAAGTAAGTTTTATCCCTTAGAATATTAGCGTAAGGTTGCCACTTATTTTCCACATTCTTTCAACCTGGTGTATTTCTTTAATAAAGTCGCCACCTGATTAAAAAATATATATATATATATATCTATTTAATTCATTATTTTTAAATTTGCCTCCTGATATTTTGGTTTATCAACATTATTTTTTACTATTAGGCTCAAACGCATCGATAATATTCAGGGACCGTTAATAACAGTTACTTTTTTTCAACAGCTAAACTTGGCCAGATATTTTTAAGTCTAAAATAAAAGTCCTTTCCTGGTAATAAACAAACCGCTTATCCAAATTAAACAAGTTTGGTATGCAATGAAAGAGGACTGAAATAGCTTTAAAACTGAAACGAGAAAAGCCAGCAGAAATGTTTTTTAATTACAATAGAACAAACCTTGGGTCAGGTATATGCATTTCTTTTGTATTAAATTATAAAAAAATAAAAACATATAAATAGAAGTGGTAGGCTTGGATCGTTATTTCTGTTTAAAAGCTATTTAAGTCCTCTCTCATTTGGTACCAAATTTGTTTAATTTGGATAAGTGGTTTGTTTACAATCCGGAAAGACTTTTATTTCGAAAATAAAAAAAATATCTGGCCAAGTTTAACTGTTGGAAAAACTAACTGCTTTTTACGGTACCTGATAATATTAGATTTATGGACATAATTTGTATGAATTTGGATGGGCGTAATGTTAAATAGTAAATATTTCTTAATCATTGCCAAACCTTGAAAACTTTTAAAAGTATGTTTGTCTATGATATCTGTTGGTTTATGATATCTGAAAAATTACAAATGATCTTCTTTCTCGTTATGAATAAGTTGAGAGTTTCCAAGGTTTTAGTAAAATTTTAAACATATTTTCGGTAAGTATTCGACCACAGCTACTACCTGGTACTCAGTGCAATCTTCCTTCTCTGTGTTTACAGTTTCGTTATAACGCTTCTCAGCCCGACTCGGGTCTATCCTAAGCTATGTGTGTGCCACGATAATACAGATTAAATACGCAGGCAAAATGATAAAAATTAACTTTTAATATATTTTTATTCTGATTTTGCAAATATTTATGTATATATATGCTTTCTGATTTGCATTGAAAAACTAATCCCCTGCAGAGAATCCACTTTCAACACAATTAACTATATATTCCTCTAATAAAATGGAGAGAAACTAAATTAGTTAGTGCGTAGTTTTTGTGATTCAAGAAATAGTTTAATAGTCAAAACTTAGATACCAAATTTGTATAGGTAATAAACAAGAAATGTGAGTATGTACAAATTTCATTAGATTTTTTTTTGCAAATTTTTGGTCCAGACTTCAGGATATGTAGAATGGCAAATTAGAT